AAAAAAAAAAAAAAAAAAAAAAAAAGAAAAAGAAAAAAGAAAAGTAGGAGGCGGCGCTGCGCTCAGGGTTTCATATTATAACTTCGAGCAATGCACTGAGGCCGGGGGCCAAGTCCCACTTACCCGAAATCTCAATTTCCGACCATAGATTCGGAAGATCGACGGCCAAGAATGAAAGATCAGCGTAAGCGGGACTTGGACGCGGGAATCCTCAACAAACAACCTGGGGCCGTGACCCACTAGCGGGCTTTTAGTTTATGTTTTGTGTATTTTCCAACGTGGTCACACTAGGGCCCTGAGATTTTCAGATCGGATGGCAAGGAGCCATGCACACTCAAAACCAGAACAAAACCTCGAGAAGTGGGACATGGCCCCGGGAGATGAGAAAACCTTTGAAACACCATTACCACAGGCGGAGGAGGTATTCGGACTAGGAACAGAAAATACCCCAAAACCCGGGGCGCTGTCCTGTTATGTCTCCTCCCCTGAAACAAAGGAAAAAAGAAACAAACAATGCCATCACGGCCCACAACTCCATCACAAATAATCAAAAAAAAAAAAAAAAAAAAAAAACTCCATCACAAATTCAAAGGCTAACCCCACACTACTAACAACAGAAAATCCCAATGTTCTGAGCTACACTACCACCCTACATCCAACATGGCTCAAACAAAGTCCTCTCTATCCTATCCCTGATTCTATAACTCTACAGTCCCGGTCCTAACTATTATTACCTTGTTACCAAGATGGCCAGCTACGAATAGACAATACAGAATAGCTCCTTTGCCTCTGGGCATCTGCTAGCACCCTACCAAAGCCCCGGGGCCTGAGCGCAAACTGACTTTCACAAAAAAAAGGAAAAAAAGGAAACAGATTTGCCACCTAAATCGGTGGCGGACTCTCCCATGAGAGGCCCATCTAGATAGACGCTCCTTCCTGACCACTGCCTGTCCACTGCGACAAAGCTGCAAACGAGCATCCCAGGTTGGGATGATTGACCGCTAGGCACTTAGGAGCCAATCGTCAAACACCACTTTGTTATCTTCTACCTTTGCCAACGAGCCCTGCAAACACCATGTACTCTCAAACCATCTCAACGCATTAGAACGAACATTTGAGTTCAGCACCTTGGCGTCTCCAGTCCACTAAGATTGCCTGTCTCAAGGACTCAAACCATATTTGACTGCTGTCCTGATCTGCTTGTTCGTCCATTCTTTTCCCTCAAAGACTCTGTCGTTTCTTACTTGCCAAATCACAGAGATTAACACAGCTCTAGCGACTTGAGCGATGTAACCCCATCCTTTTCTCAGGGAGAGATGTGCCGGTACTCCCCCCAGCAAGGTCCAGACCTTATCCCAGTGGAGACCCTTACCTGAGATTTTGTCCCACTTATCTACCCACCATCTCCAGATTCTGTCAGATGCAGGGCAGTCCCACCACAGATGAGTGGTGGACTGGAAAGCCCATTGGCATCTCGGGCAGGTCATTTCAATTTTCATGCCATGTTCTACCAACCATACAGCGAAGGTGTTGCACACATTGAGAGGAGCCAGAGAATTGCAGCTTGTCGTTGGTTGGGAATCAGTTTTAGTTGAGTCCAACATTTACGTAGCGCTGCTGAGATTCGGGATGGATCCAACTGAAGTAAGATCTGCCACCTTGACATGGCTGTGCTCAAGGGATCACGGGAAGGTGGCTTCAAGCTATAGCCTAGTTTCTGTGTGTATTCTAAGATACATAGTTTCTGCCCATGGCGACCCGAAGCCCGCCATTCCCACTTCTTAGGATCCAATTTCAGTTTTGCCACTGGTTTACCCTTGGCGAGTTATAGT